CCGGGTGGTCCCATCCTAACCTGTAAAAAACAATACAAAATCAACATTTTTCTTATTTTTTCCTCTCGACATGGACGTCCTGTCGTCCACGGCGATAATCCATTGCAAAAAACACCACAAAGAGCACACGCGCGCGTTCATGTCAGAATCCTACCGAACACCGTGTGTTTGCAAGCATTTCAACATAAAAACATCAAAAACCCAATGCTTTTTCACAAAAATTGTACAAATTTCCCGCCCGGGCTCTCTTGCTGAAATCATAGGAAAACCATAGGAATCTTAAGAATTCGGTCAAATCCAGCGATTTCACGTCATCGCGCGGTGCACTCGCGATGCTCTGTCATGCACCCAGGCCGCGAATCCTGTGCAAAAAATGCCACAAAGAGCACACTCGCGCGTTCATGTCAGAATCCTACCGAACACCGTGTGTTTGCAAGCATTTCAACATAAAAACATCAAAAACCCAATGCTTTTTCACAAAAATGCTTTGGGGTGTCCTGTCAGACCGTCGGGCTTCCTCCGGCCACCTCTGGCTTCCTGCGGTGTACCGGGCCATTCTCGACTCGTCTGGCAATGCGTGCGCGGCATTCAACACGCGCTCGCCAGTTCCCGTCGGCAACCGCCATCGCGGCCGCATCAGCTGTACCAAACCGGCTGGCCGGTGTGACTTCGGCCCCCAGTTGTGCCAGCTTTGCTTCTTATGTTGTGGGAGGGCGGGTGGGACTGGGCATGCCATGCTTGACTCGCTCGAGCTGGCTAGCTTGACTCCTACTCCTACTCCTACTCCTACTACTACTACTACTACTACTACTACTACTACTACTACTACTACTACTACTACTACTACTACTACTACTACTACTACTACTACTACTACTACTACTACTACTACTACTACTACTACTACTACTAGTACTACTACTACTACTACTAGTACTACTGCCACTACTACGAATAACTACAACTACTACTACTGCTAACAACGAACAACAACTACTACTACTCTTTCCCCTTTCCCCCGCGCCACCCGCCCGAATTGCTGTATCCCAGGCATTATGTATCACCAGAAGTGGGCCACCATAAGCTCCTACACATATGATGTCGAACACGGCAAAGACAAACAATATGTATTCAACATAGAAAACAACACAATGCCCCGAATCAGTTTTTTGGTTTTGGACAATTAGTCCTTGGGCATCTCTCCTGTCCCACCCCTCCTCCTACCCTCCCCTTTTCTCCTCTTTCCCATCCCTTCGTTGTGATATGTGTTGTACGGGAGTCTGATCATTACAGCTTTCCGACGTCACGAACGTGTGGCACTAGTGTGGGATTCTCACCATTGCAGCTTTCCGGAATCACGAACGTGTGGCAGGGCTAGGTCGTCGTCGTCGCCGTCGTCGTCGCCGCCGCCGCCGCGGTCGTCGTCGTCGTCTTCGTGCGAGGATGAGGACGGCCTCCTCTTTCCTCGTCATACGACTTGCCAGGACAAATCGTTTGTTATCCCGGGACCCCCAACTTTATCATCCCCCGGGTATTCTTATCAGGGGTATGGGGTTCGGTCTCCACAAGTCCCTGGTGAGACTCTGGAGGCCTCCAGAGATCCTTGAGGTTCAAAGGGTCAGCAACATCCACAGGCGTCCACACAAGGAGGATGATGAAGAGGTCATGAGGTCGAGCGGGGGTCGACCAGAAGAACTTTTCTCGTTTCGTTTCGTGCTGGCTTCGTAACAGAATCGTCGGCTCCCAGAGGGCCCCCTGGAGCGAGAACAGAGCGAGAACTGAACCAGAGCGAAAAATGTCCACGAGGTTGCCCTAACCACTTAGTTCCCCGCCCTGACGCGCAACATGCAACCCAGCACGTGCTGATCCGGGGATCAGCGGGTATGTATTCAAAGCGGGAGTCAGGCTCCACACCTTCGCCGAAACGTAGGCCTACACGGACGAAACCCGCGCTCAAACACGCAACACGCGGGGCGTAGCACTGAACAGCTGCCAGCGTTTGAGATAAGCCCTGGGGAGGGCCAATGGAGACAACGGCGGCTCCCCCGCCTGGCTCAGATTCGCCCCAAATCTGTCCCCCGACCTCTACCCGTGCACATCCTGCCCCGATGCGACGCGGATCCGGCCGTGGCGGCCAGAAGCCTCCAGGAGGCCGCCCCAATCAACCACGAAACACATTGTCTCGACCGGCCCCCGAGAGAACCGATCTCTGCGCCCTCACGAAACACGCCACGAAGGGCCGCCATTGTTTCAACCGGCCCCCGAGAAAACCGACCTCTGCGCCCTCGCGGTTGCAGATCGATCTTTCTTGCAGTTGCAAGTCTGACGATGTGCGGGCGAGCCTTCTAGCTGCTCTACAACTCGAGGTCAAGCCGCACAGCCTCCTGCGTGCAGAAAGCGCTCTCAGGTCGAGTCGGTTCGTTTCCAGAGGCTCAGGGCAACTGCATAAACATAATTCCTAGGAGGTCCGCGCAAACTTCTTGGATGGACGTTGGACCCCCAGCCCCCTCCCGGGCGCGCAGAAGAAAAGAGCTCTCTGGTCAAGTCGGCTCGTTTCGGCCGATCCCCTAGGTGAGCGACGAAAAGAAACGGGTCTTACGCGAAACGACATAACGACCTTACTCGGTGGCGCACGCGGGCAGTAACCGTTGCACACTGCGTGAGGAAGAGGGCGCTTACGCGCGACCTTGCGCGGGCAGCTTGCGCGCCAATGTCGGTGAAGCCGACCCCGTTCGTCTGCGTCGTTTTCGTTTTCGTTTTGTGCTTGTTTTCCGCCGCTTTGTCTTCAATCCACCTCTGCCGCGAAACGGAGTCGAAACGAAAACGGCCCACGAAATCGCCAAAACACCGTTTAGGTCCAGCCCTGCGCCCAGGTGGCGAGCCTGTCCCCAGCACCACGAGCCGCTCCCTGCTGGCGGCAGAGGCAGTCGCGCAGCCGCGCAGGCACGGCGCGCGGCTGCCCAGGGCGGCGCCCGCAGCCTCTGGGGCTGCGCCCGGCGGGGCGGCGCCGCGGTCGGCGGCGCTCGACGGCGAACGACGACGGCGACGCTTAGCCGCCCCGGCACGCAGCACGCAACCCGTAGCCCGTAGCGTGTTGGTACGGAGCTCAACGCACAGACTGAACATGTAGGTCTGGCGCGACACGTCCGCCAAGACGTGGGCCAACATGTCGAGCCAACACGCAGCGTGTCAACACGGACGTTTTGAACAGGGTATGCGTTGCGTTTCAAAACGGGCAGATCAGGGCGGCTAGGCGCCGACGTGGGCGCGGACGGCGGCGCCGACGCCGATGGCGACGCCGACGGCGGCGCGATCGCCGCCGCCGCCGCCGCGGCAAGGTAGCGGCGGCGTGGTGGAGGAGGACGGTGCGGATGAGGGTGATGATGCTGCTGCTGATGATGCTGATGGTGATGGTGATGATGATGAGGAGGAGGACGACGAGGAGGATACAGAGCGAGGACGTGGAGAGACTCGTCTGCCAGGAGCGAGTAGTGGCGCATGTGGAACCCGTGGGCAGAGGTAGCGGTGTGCCTATGAAAATCCTGCTGAGGCCACGCATCTCATAGGGCGTCAGCCTTTCCAATGCTGGCAGTGGTTCGTAGGAATCTGGAGGCTTGGGGGGGCGAAATCAGCACGCCACAACTTATTGAAACTAGCATCTTCAGGCTGTGATAAACAAAGCCGGCGGGTCGGCAACAATGTTCCCCAAGTCGTTGAGGGTGGTGGTGGGGTCCAGGACCCGTAGCCCCTGACGGCCTTGTGGGCCTGTTTAGCCCCCTGCTCAACCCTGTCCAGGAGCCAGGTGCGACAACCCTCCAGGCCCTGCTGCTGCTGCGCGGTGGCCTCGGCTGCGGCCACCGCAAGGTCGAGCTGCGAGATCAGATCGCCACAGTCGCACCAAACAGGCGACGCGGTAACCTGGATGACAGCCTGATACCATCGATCGTGGTCCACGAGTGCCTCACGGATAAAGGGGGGAGGGTTCAAATGATGTTGCGGAGGTGGGAGGCCGTGAGCACATGTGGCAGCGATGGCGCTGTTCGGTATTCAAGGCACTGCTTGAACTTCTGGGCAAGCCACTGCTTGAACTTCTGATCGGTTTCCGATCCTGCTCAAAATTCGAAGCTGAGGGGCCTTGGCTCTCGAGCCCAAGCACGGGGCGGTCGAACTGGTGGCCTTGATCAGTTCTTTCTTGGACAAATTGGCCCAAACGCAGTAATTCGGCCTGGATCCTGGGGCATCGCCAGAGTGCGGAATGTCAACGAGCGCCTCAGCCATCTTGGTGGCTCCGTCCCAAGAAGGAGGCTCTTCAGAAGGACCAAAGATAGGGTCTGTTCTCAGGGGGGGGGGTCGGCGGAGCTTACGCCCATGGAGTTGCGCCAACCTGGGATAGAAACGCGATTTGCACTGGCGAGTGGGGCGCCGTGCAAGCAGCGTGGATCAGGTCCACCGGCTTAATGCCACCAGAAAGCCCTTCAGGCACAATGAACAAATCTAGCATCTTCATCCCCCCTGTGGTGCTGCAAGTGCCAGCAGCGTCCTTCGGGAAAATCAGCCTACCACGGGTAGAGGTGTCAAGTGTTGATTGCCCCGGGGCCTGTGGAGTCATGTTGAAATCGCCTCCCAGCACAATGGACCGAGATCACACATCGATGGCCGTTGCTGCATGCGAGAGGAGCGAGAGTTTCGAGCCTGAGAGGCCCTGCGAGAGGTGCAGGTAAAAGGGGGCACAGAAATACCTGATCACCGCCTGAAGCGTTAATGATGCCGCCCCACGGCTCTCCCAAGAACCGGGACATGCCCCCCAGGGGGCCCTCGGAAGCCCAAATAATTCCGAGACAGGATTCCCATACCTCCTGAAGTGCCTCCAGAGAGTGCGGGATTGGCAAGGGCAAGACGAGCTTTCCACCCGTGACCTTGAGCCCAAGAAGGTCAAGCATGTATTTCATCACCAGCTGCCAAATCATGTTCTTGAGTAAGTAGCACATTCGCATTCGTGTGAACTAACCACGATTGAATCGATCTCCACGAAGTGCCATTGAGCGTTCCGGCCACCGGAGAGAACGAGGCATCTGCAGGGGCTGGCGGGGGCTTCAAACCGAGCGCGGCTTCGAGCGGGCCTCGCCTACGGCGCGCTGTGGGAGAGGCACTTCGGGCGCTCCTGAGGCCGGGGCCGAGTCTGGGGCAGATTTCTGGACGTCTCGGGCCGTCTCTGGGCCTCTGGGGGCGCCACGGCTCGACGTGCAGCTCGGAAGAGCCGGCAGGATGGTCCCCCAGATGGGCTCGGGGGCCACTTCTGGTTGGACTCGGGCCCGGGGTGGGGCGAGGGGCGGCGGCCCGTGCTGGGTCACTCCTTAGAGTCACTCATGCAGAGGGCCCGCTCCATGGAGTCACTCCTGCAAAGGGCCAGCCCTCCGTGCAGCCGACAGCCCTGGCCAACCCTCCCGGCCAACACCTCTCTATAACCAACCCCATCCGGCCATCCCTGGGCGAGGTGCTTCTTCCAGAAGATATGGTCGGTCTCTTGACCAGCCGTCTTGATCATCGGCTGGCTATTCTGCGTGCTCCAGAGGACCAGCCCTGAGCGCGCCAACGCCGACCTCTGTTCGGCGGAAGGGGGCCTGCTCCTGCTTCAACCATTCTTCCGCGGGGGAAAAGACTGTGGAGGTCAACCTTCTAAGGCCTGATTTTTTCATACATCTCCCCCCCTTGACGGTGGACATGGGATACGCGTCAACTATTGCATCGGACACCTCCGGATCCCTCGAAGGCGACGCTCATTTTGGGAAGGCCTGGCCTGGACCCACGCCTCTCCAGTCGGACGAAGGGCGGGTCAGGAAAGGGGGGGAGCCAGCTGGTTTCCCTGGCGCCTCCTGGCGCCAATGCATCCAGGGAAGGCGCCCGGCGAGGGGCCGAAACCAACTGCACGCAGCAGATTTCGTACCCCACCCCTTTCCCTATGCGCCCCCCCTTCGTCCGACCCGAACCTCTTCGGGAAGGCTCTCTTCAACCCGTGGGCCGCAGAGCGCTCGGCCCCCTTCCCCTGGGTTCGGCCGTGCGCCCCGAATCGCACATCTCAGGACGAGACTGATGTCATGATGCGATCGGCTCAGGGTGCGTTCCAGGGGTCCTGGAGTGTCTTGCGGCCCTCCCTGTGTGTAGCCCGTGTGGAACATTAGGTAATCCGGGAACTCCTTTGAAAATTTTGGAACCTTAGCTGCCCCGACACGCAACCCGCAACCCGTAGCGTGTTGTCACGGAGCTCAACACGTAGACTGAACACGTAGGTCTGGCGCGATAAATTCGCCACAACGTGTGCTAATGCGTGCCGAGCCAACGCGCAGCGTGTTAACACTGTCGTTTTGAGCACGGTACGTGTTGCGTTTTTAAACACAGGCGTACCAGGGCAACTCAAGCAACGACCCTGGCGTTGGCTTCTGACACCGCGTAGGTCGCTCAACCTCGAGCTGTCTACGGCTTTTCGATCGGTCACCACGCCGGATCGTTCCGTGCTGGCCGATTGCCACTCGCCGCGTTCCACCTTGAGCGCCCCCGTTGGGGTCGCCGCCGCGTTGCCACGACGCGAGCCCGCGCCGTAAACCAGGAAATGGTCGCACCAGAGTCCTGGCTTGCGGAGCCCTGGTCGAACAAAAAACAATCCGCCGCCGCACCCATGCATCCGACGTCGTGCTTGTTGTTGCTCTTCTTACACAAGGGACCCACAGAGATCTCGACCACTTCCCCAGGACCTGCTTTTCATTCAGAAGCGTTCCCAAGCCCCGCAAGGGCCACCTGGAGGCCGAAAATGCAGAGAGGCCTTCCGCAATCCGATCTTCGGTCATGCCTTGGGTCTCTGGCGGCCATTCGGGACGCTCATGGCACCACCCCCGGAACGCCCTCGGTCAGGCAAGAGGCACAGCTGCTGGAGAACATCCCGATACTAGAAAACCTGCAAGAACAGACGAAAACGTAAGAAAACCTCATCCGTCGTAAGTCGACGATTTTTCTTAGCTTCCAGCGCATAGGCATATTGCGGCGCATCGGCGCGGAGTCGGAATAACATCGGAATCGCCGCGACAGGACGCACAGTTACGCCATGCGAACACATCGGGCCGCATCGTGAGGTCGGCATATCGGGACCGAACCGATTCGGGCCGGCCGACGCCGATATCGAATCGGATCGGTCGGATCGATGTGGCCTTTTCCAGAAACACGAAGTCAACAAAAACAATTGCCATCCCTTGGGAAGGCAACTTTTGCTTCCGCCGGCGTCCGCCTGGTGATCCGCCCTCGTTTTGCTTCCGCCGGCTTCCGCCGAGAAGGAGATGGCAACTCCCTGTCGATCCCTCGCAGGCAAGGGCGCCCCCCCCCCACACACAAGTGTCGCCACGCCACTTGTTCTCGACGCCCCCAGGTGGACGACGCCAGCACTGCGCCACACCCCACGGCAAACCCCGCGGCCGAGGCCGAACTTGCCCTTCTGGCCGAGACGCCCCCTCCAGTGCGCAGGGCCGCGCGCCGGAACAGACGGCGCGGCGACACGTGCCCTGCACAACTGAAGGGGCCCTGGGACACACAAATAAATACACACAAATAAAAACATTCCCCATATTTTCGTATATTTCCTGGGTTTTTGTCTTCCCCACCACTTCCCATATTTTCCCATATTTTCTGGGAATCGACGATTCATTGTGTCTGTGTGTTTTTTCCCCTCCTGCACCGAGGGGGCTATTCGGACGCACCCCTGTCGAGGATGGACGCCCCCCCCTCGTATATCCCAGGGTTGGGCCCCAAATTGTTGATTCTCTCGAAAACCTCACGCAGCCTGGGATAGGGGTCGACGCATCCCCTGTTAGACGGCGAGGTGACACGTGCCCTGCACAACGCCGACGCCCCGACCGTGCTCCCCCCGCGAGGGGGCTCGGCGCAGACGCCACGCCCTCTGCTCGGCCACGGGGGGGGCTCGGCCCGTGGACGCCAAGGGCCTCCCGGCCCGTGGGGCGCTCCTCCTCCTCCTCCTCCTCCTCCTCCTCCTCCTCCTCCTCCTCCTCCTCCTCCTCCTCCTCCTCCTCCTCCTCCTCCTCCCCCTGCGTGGAGCTCCGCGGGCGGCTCCTCTGCGGGGCGGGGGTCCATCCACGTCCACCGCCTGTGGGAGAAGGATCCCCGGACCCCAGCGGGCGGCGGAGATGGATGCCTCTCGGCCCCGAGGGGCATGCACATCTGCCACCTGACGGGTTCCCCGGAGATTGATCCCCCGAGCGCCGGTTACTACGTCCACGAGTCCAAGCAAACAAAATTCCCGGACACCCCCCTGGACAACCCTTCCAATGCCGATACCATGAGTGTCCCAGCATGCAACTCTGGACAACCCGCCTTGGACCAACCCCCTCTGGACAAGCCTCCCCGGGATTTCTCTTCCATAATGTGTGGCATGTGCACACGCTGGTCGGAAAAAGTAGGTAGAAAGATGAAGTAGGATTCGTGCCCGCCCAAAGAATAACAAACAACAGCCAAACCACATCGACGATTGAAATAGGAAGGCACTTGAAGTAGAATGAATTCTGGGAGCCCACAAAATACCTACTTTCAACGACCGATGGGTAATCCGCGCTTCCGATCCCCTGCGGACGAAGCGGCGTGGTGTGCACATCGAGCCCCTCCCCGCCCCCCGCGATCGGAGGCGCCCCCGCCGGTGGCGGTGCGCGCAGCAGCTCCGCCGCGGCGCCGCCTGCCACGGAAGGGGGTCGGGGGCGCGCGAACACGGATGAGCGATCCATGGATTTGGCGCGCGGTCGCCGAATCCATGTATCGGGTGAAGTGCCCTCCCCAAAGTACGGCTGGTGCTGCCTCGCTCGGCGGCGGAAATGCGCGATGTCCCATGGAGAGAGGACCCGTCGCTAATGCACGCCCCCTTGATCCGTGTTTGCGATCGCCTGAAGGGGTGCCGCTCCAGGACGGTCAAGGGAGAGCAGAGCACAACCACACGACAAGCGTCCCACTCGTCAGTGCGAAAGGGGCACGAATCGAACTACGGCTGCCGTCGACAAGATAGCGCGCAACACCGATCTCCCGAGAGCACGCTGTCCCTGTGAGGCGATCACCCCGCGAGGGCCCCGTCTGTGCACGCCACCCCCCCGCCCGGGGGGCTTCTTCGGTGCACGCTATCCCCAGGGTGGGGCACAGCGTGCCGTGTTCGGGCGGGCGGCGCCAAACCGTACGTTACCCTTCCAGCGCCAGCCGCAGGATCTGCCTCACCCTCTCCACGAGCGCACGCCGCTGCGCGTGCATCGATTTCGCTGGGCAGAGCCCCCCCCCTCGTGTCGGGCAACAGTCATTCGGTGGGGACGGGGCGCAACCACAACGAGCCAGGTACACACAGACAACGATCATGTCAATGCGCTTACTGCCGTGGTACTACCAGAAGGAAGACACACTAAGGAACGAATGGGCTTTCCTGGCCACGGCGAGCCTCGATCACGAATACTCTCCAAGCCCTCAACCTAAGGAACGGCCGCAACACCCCAGCCCCTTCTGAGCCCAACGCAATTCTCATTGCAGCGTCTTGACCGTAAACAGCAAACTGTGAAATCTGTGCGCGTACGCTGTCCAGAAGGCTTTCCGCAGCATTGTTTTCCATCTCGAACAATCTTTCCCAACCATCTTGTGGTGTTGGGTCCTCGTCTCGAAGAGACAACGCTCCGCGTCTCCTTCCCACCCGCTGCCCCCCCTCCTCCACCCATCCTGGCATCTGCCCTCCGCATGTCCATCTCGGTACACCCCTCGGACGCTTCGTGGCCCAATAGGGAGCTCCACCGAAGCCCCCAGCGGCTGTGATCACATGCGTCCGCGCCACCCAGTACAGCGCTTCGTGACCCCATAGGGAGCTTCACCGACGGCCCCAATGGCTGTGATCACATGCGCGTCCGTGCCTGAGTACACAGCGATGTGTGGCCCCATGGGAGCTCCACCGACGGCCCCAGTGGCTGTGATCACATGCGTCCGCGCCACGCAGCACAGCGTTTCGTGGCCTCATATGGAGCTCCACCGAAGGGCCCCAGTGGCTGTGATCACATGCGTCCGCGCCGCCCAGTACGGCGTTTCGTGGCCCCATAGGGGGCTCCACCGACGGCCCCAACGGCTGTGATCACATGCGTCCGCGGCCCCATCGGAGCTTCACCGAAAGGCCCCGATGGCTGTGATGACATGCCTCCGCGCCACCCAATACAGCGTTCCGTGGCCCCCCCATCGGGAGCTCCACCGACGGCCCCAGTGGCTGTGATCACTTGTGCCCTGCCACCCAGTAGGCGATCTGTGTCTCCATAGGGAGCTCCACCGACGGCCCCAGTGGCTGTGATCACATGCGTCCGCGCACCCAATACGGCGTTCTGTGGCTCCGTAGGGAACTCCACCGAAGGCTCCCGTGGCTGTGATCACATGCGTCCGCGCCATTAAATTCAGCGGTTCGTGGCCTGCCCCTGGGGAACTCCGCCAAAGGCCTTGGCGGCGGTGTTCACATGCGCCCCGCCCGCCCATGTCGGCACATCCTCACACGTCTCTTGGCCCCATAGGGAGCTCCCCGCCTTCGTCCTACCTGCCTTGCGGCAATCACAACTGCATATGGTCGGGTCCTTCGCCAAGAAAATTTTTGGGGCGGCCCCGAAGCCCGACACCGGCCTTCAGAGGCCTACGAATGGTGACAAACCAGGCGCCTCGACTAAAGCATCGGAGGGATGGTTTTCTTCTTCATGGGGAGGAAGAGGATGACGAGGAGGAGGAGAATGAGACTAAGGAGGAGGAGGAGGAGGAGGAGGAGGAGGAGGAGGAGGAGGAGGAGGAGGAGGAGGAGGACGAGGAGGAGGCGTCCAAGTTCAGCAGCCCCAACCGAGTGGGCCCTTGCAGGAAGCGGGGGGGAGCGCCACGCCTAGGCGGGGCGCGGAGGGCCGGCAGCGCCGCCCGATCGCCGCGCCTTGCGTGGGAGGGGGGGGGGGGGGCACCGTTAAGGGGGGAGGTTATGGTTTCCCTCCCCACCGCCTCCTCCGCCTCCTCCCCCCCCTCCCTTCCTTCTTTCCTTCCTCCTCCCTTCCTCCGTCATTCCATACGCCAATGGCAACGTGAAGGGGGGAGGTTCGAGGCAAGAGTGAGCCTCGAGTGAGCTTCTAGGATCGAGGTTAGCTTTTCTGGGAGCTTTTGCTCGTCCTGGGGCACCCGCGTAAACACACCCCAGGAGAGGTCCATGGATCGAGTTTTGCCCCCTGATCATGGGCAACATCAGGGGGGAAGAACGGGTTCGAAATTAAGGGGCAACGTGACAGGGGGAGGTTCGAGGCTCGAGGAAAACATATCTTCATAAACAGAAGAAGTGTCGGAGGTCCGCGCGGATTTCTTGGATCGGCGCTGGACCCCCCTTCCTGGCGCGCGGAGCGCGCCAGGGGCGGCGCTGGAGGCGCCGCCAGGGGGACCCACAAAGCCGATCCAAGAGGTCCGCAGCGACCTCCGAGACCTTATGTGTATAGAGTTGTTTCCCCAAGCAGCGCTTGCACTTAGGAGTTCCTCCTTGTCTTCTAAGGAACTGGGCCCGTCTGTTGGCCCGGCGGCCTCGCTCCCGTTCGTAGCCGCCCTTTTAATAAAAGGCCCGTCTGTTGGCCCGGCGGCCCCGTTCTCATCCGTCGCCGCCGCCGCATTGAACCCCGCCCCCCCCCCGCCCCCCCTGTTGCACCCCCTTCCGTTCGCACTGTAAGTTTTGCATTGCTTTGCATTGCTGTTTGCGGTCCACGCATTGCTCTTCGAAATGTTCGAGGTTCTCGGGCGCTTTCGTCGGTTCTCGGCGGGTTTCCAGCCTCGGGGTGCTCTCCAACGGAAGAGCCTCGCCAAGAACAATTCGGGGGTGCACGGATCATCCCGAACGGCCGCCAGATGACCCGAAGACCGTCAAAAGGCCAGCTCAGGGGGGGAAACATCGAGCTAGAATCAGCGTTACATCGTCGATTGATCCGCCATAGGCCCTCCGATTGCGAAATCGCACGCTCCTGGAGCGGGAAAGGGCCATCGGCCTCGTATCGGCGATGAGCGGGCAATTTGGGGTCGATGCGTCCCCCCCTGAGCCTATTCCCCCAGTGACGTTGCCCCTTGGCAGGGGTTGGGATGTCCTAGGAGGCGTGGCGGGCGGTGGTCATCATCGCATGGCCCAGAGATCCGACCACATGTTTTTTGTGTTTGCTTGTTTTCCTGTGGGAAGGGTCTGGGCGTTTTCTCCAGATTTCGGCCTCCGGTACTGTTCTGGGGCCCCAGGGCCGCAGAAACTAGACCCAGGGCGAACACCTGCCCCCAGGAAAAAGGGTCGGGAGCTCCGAGGCGATGGAGTTACTTCACGCGGGGGCCCTTTGTGTGTGTATCTTTTCTCACGGGCTCCTTATCTATGACTATGAACGTGTGGAGTGAGAGGGCCAAAGTGGATCTGCCTCACGGCTCCTCCTTGTGATGCCCAAGTGCTGTTCCTGCTGCATCGCGGTGACCATGGAGCTCTGAAGAAAGGGCACGTATACCTCTGATAACAAACCAGCCGCACGAGACATCCCAACACACAGTCAGAGCGCGACCGGGACAATTACATCACTCCCTGGCGGCTCCCACCTTGGGAGCCGAAAAGCTATGCCTGCAACGCGCTGTGATCATGCGGGCCCTGAAAGGAAACGCGTCTAACTCCTCCTCCTCCCAAGAAGGTTCCCGAGATGCCCAAATCATTCAAAACCGTGGGGGATCAATGATGCGTGTCTTCCTTTTGCTTCCGGTGGGCCATTTCGGCCTCACGATGGTCTTCCCAACAGTGCCCCAAGACGGCGCCGAAAGGAGCCCACGAACCCCCCAGGACGGCCCCAAGACAGCCTAAGAGAGTTGCGAGACGGCCCCAGAGCGTCTCAAGACGGCCCAGAGTGGTCCCCTGGACGGCCTGCGCAGGCGTCAGACGCGCTAATAGCGCCCTAAGACAAGCCCACAAGCCACAAGCCCCCAAGAGGCCCCGAAAACCCCCAATACACCCCAAAATGACTCCTAACAGGCCCCCGGAGGCCTCCAAGACGCCCCCAGGAGAGGCCCCCAAGAGGCTCCGAGAGGGCCCCAGGAGGCCCCAATATGCACCAACATGGCGCTTCCTGCTCGTCGTCATCGTCGTCGTCCTCCCCCTCTTCCTCCTCCTCCTCCTCCTCCTCCTCTTCCTCCTCCTCCTCCTCCTCCTCCTCCTCCTCCTCCTCCTACTCCTCCTCAATGTTCGCGAAGTTTGCGGGCTAGTTTCACGAAGTGGCGAGCCGCCGTGGCTCCCGATCTGCGGGCTCAGCACGGCGGGCCACGCGCCGCATAGCACATTCCGAGGGTACTTTGCCACTTGGCTGATTCATGTTGTTGATGGGTGGAGGGTCGCGAACAGCACCAGCATGTTAGGATAGAGAGGTAAAAGGGAGGCGTGCGATAGCGGCGGCGTTCGGCGAGATATGCTTTCTCCTACGTCGCAGATGTTACGTCGCAAGCGACGCCGGCCACGTAAGCAGATTGGGCGGGGCCGCTTTGAGCCAACGCGGCGGCGGACGAACAACGCATGATCTACATGCCACCCTCGGGGCATTCACTCAAAGTCGAGGGGGGAGGGAAGCGCAATTCGACCGTCGCCACCTACCTGTATAGACTCAAAACAGCGCTTGCGAACGCAAAAGATATCTCCATTCGAAAGCCTTGGCCAACGAGGCAACGCATTAACACACAGGGGTGCGAGAAGCTAAATCCTCTTTCCATCCAACCAGCACCGAAGGCTGATGGGCAAAGACAACCTGCATAACACAGCTTGGGCCGGACAGACCAGTTTTTTTATCCTGAAAGCCCAGACGCACAAAACATTATGTGAGTTCGCGGCTCCGCGACAACAAGGCGCAACGACTGCAGTCGCGATTCCACGGAACCAGCATGTGGAAGGAGCGCGGAGACGCGGTCACTTCTGAGCAGTCGCGGGTCCGCGATCGATCTGCGCCGGGCCAGCAGGAGCCACCCCCTCTTTTATACACAGAGCGGCTGCAGCTGAATGGTCCTCCAGACCTCTGGGGTCTATAACGGCGAGTTATCGGCAACAGCTGTCATTGGTCGGCGATGGGAGGCTTATGGCTTCGATGCGGCGCGTGCGACCCGACTTCGCGTGTAGCTCTGGTAGCCTGCCATGAGTTGGACAACCAGGTCCCTGTCGATAGTTCCCCTGGCGGGGCCATCCGCCGTCATGTCGCGGGCGTCGCGCCACTGCGCTTTGTTGATGATGCCGAGGTCCAAGAATTCTCTTATCCAGCGGATAAGTCCCAACAGTGTCATCTCCGCGTGTGTGTCGAGATCTTTGCGGGAAAGAGACTCGTGAACCGATTCGGCGTCAATCTTGAGGGGCACTTGAATGCAGGGTCCCCGGTATTCACGGAGGCGTTTGAGCTCGGACGGACTCAGGGGCCCCCTGATGATCTCATGTAGTGGTACCAGAGCAGGGCAACATACGTCATGATTATGAGCGGCGGTAACTTGTTTGGCAGCAGAGCTGCCAAAACAGTGCAGAGGCAGTCGACACAGTGCGCGACCTCACCCTTGCTGCTCGTGTTTCCACGACACAGCAAATTGCATCCACGAAGCCGCCCGCAACCCGTAGTCTCGTCGCCCTCATGCTGGTGAACATCCGATGCCCGGAGTCGCTTTGCGGGTCCAGAGTACCATCGGGGGCCCTGGCTTGGTCGATGATACTCTTAGGTTTCTGCAACAGTTCACGGGTGAGTGCATTCGGTCGTCTCGCGCGCGTATTCGCCCGGTCCAGAAAGCGCTGCAACAAAAAGATTCTACCATAATCCAGCCTTGGGTAAATACAGAATGCGCTAGGGATATCCGCAGTCGAACAAACCTGTCGCTGACAATATGACTCGCTTGTTTGCTTCTGGGGAGGCACCTACAATATCGGGATGTGCAATCGGGGGAAATGGTCAGGCGTGCTCGTCCTGATCCATCATAACATCCCCTATTCCGTCCTGGTGTGTTGCACTGCACCACTCGTGTAGGTATGTTTGCTCAGCATGCACGTGCCAAGCGCCGGCTCGCCCAGTTTGACGTATGCGTTTATGTGGGGCTCCTTGCCGCACGCGTTGATGTCGCCCGCGTGCTCGGCTGTGAGCGTGCCCCTGGCGGCCCCGAACTCCTGGTCGTAAGCTGTGGGCTCGAGGCCGAGGCTGTCCTTGATCTTCTCGATATTGCATGAGCAGGCACGAAAAGCACCCTTGGTGCCAAAGCCAAGCTTGAGACATCTGGGACAGCGTCGCGACTCGTCGCGCTCCCGGAAGCCCGGTTAGCGACGCGCCCCTGCTCATTTGTGACTTCGGCCAGTCCTCTGCATGTGCGGCCTTAAAGCCTTATCTGCGTGGCAAACTGGCCAGGATCCAATCCTGGTGGCACGCTGCCCCCCCCGCCCACGGGCGCGGGGAAATGCGTCGCGCCTTTCCGGAATGCTTCCGCGGAGAAGGCTTCCAGGCCCGCGAAACTGTGCAATGCAAGGCGGGGTCCTATAAGCATCTCATTGTTTCCGAACCTCCATGTGCATGCGCGCCTTGAGGTCTAGACGTCCTGGGCCTTGGACATCAGCTAGTTGGGGAAATGCCGGTTGTCCAACTCTAGCTGCTAGCTTGCGTTCGCCAGCGCTGCGGGTGATGCCTGTTTAGGGTTGTTGATGATGCCCTGCCTGGCAAGCGGGTCGTCATCTTTGACCGCCGTCGCTCGTTTGCCTTCGACTGAGACGCGCGCGCGAATAGTAGCCAACCCGTCGGGGAGTTTAGCTCTCAGTTGGGGCTCACCCAATCTCACCTTTGCCATCTCGTCGCTGGAGCAGAGTCCGGCAAGCCCGCCGTGCTCGTCGGCATCATTGCTGTATAGCCATTCGCATTGGCACCTGAACGCTGGTAGGAAAAC